CGTCACATCAAGTTTGCTGAAAATTATAGGCTGTACTCAAGAAGTCACTTCGTTAAAGCGTGAGTTTATTTTGCGTTGGAAGAATTGTTTAGTTTAGCGCTTTCCCCTTTCTGTTCATCTTCCCCTGTGCAGATTTTCTAGGTTGTGCATTTTCTTGCCCGGGTTTCTGTTCTATATTGCATTATATGTAAGCAGTTCAAATTCTCAAATCAATGCTAACGTGATTTTTTATTTGTTTTGAGTACAGGCTTGAAGTGGCTCTACTACTAATAGTGTATATAGCATATGGGTATACAGAAGGAGGCGCTGTTTCTTTTGTTTTACTAACTCTTAGCAGTTGGTTCCTTGTCATCTCATGGCTCTTTGCTCCTTACATCTTTAATCCCTCAGGTTTTGAGTGGCAAAAGTAAGTCCTTCTGTACCATTGACCTCTTTAGTTCAAATTTCAATGATTTTGTATCAACCTACCTGTGACTTCGAGTCTTTTCTTGACGTTAATCTGTTGGATGGATGACAAGACGCTGTATTTTCTTCAAATACTTATAATATCTTTTGATGAGCAGGACTGTGGAGGACTTTGATGATTGGACCAACTGGCTTCTATATAAAGGTGGGGTAGGGGTGAAGGGAGAAAATAGCTGGGAATTTTGGTGGGAAGAAGAACAGGCATGTACTATTTGCTTTCCGGTTGCCATTTCTCCTTGCAGACAAAGGAAAATTTGTTTCACAGTAATAGGGTTGGAATAAATACTGTTGGTTAATGGCTTCAAACTTGCTGTCTTGTTTCCCTTTATCTACCTGCTGCCCCTCCTTTACTTCATCCTCTTCTTTTGCTTTTCTGAATTTGGCAATGGTAATCTGAGAGACAAACGCTGGATTTATGATTTTCTTTATTTTTCCTGAATTCTTATGGAACTTTTACATGATTTACAGATATGAATATACTGTCCATATCTCTTGTGAATGTCCCTTTTTTCCTTTATGCATGGTCTCCTAATTCATCTCTTCTCTATTATTTTGTAACGCTCCCTGGTTTTGCAGGCGCATATCCATACATTGAGAGGTCGTATATTGGAAACGATATTAAGCATAAGGTTCTTTTTGTTCCAATATGGAATTGTATACAAACTAAATCTCACTGGGAAGAGCATATCTCTTGCGGTAAACTTCTTGGACTCTTGTCTCATGACAAATTGCTATTCTCTTTGTTAATTTCACCTTAATTTTTATCGAAGTGCTAGTCTCACTTTGAGAGACAATTCTTGTCAAAAAGCCGCACTTAGGTTTGAATAAAGGCTGTATTAGTTTGTTTAACATATCCTTTGGGCATTGAAGTTTTGCCAGGATCTTAGGCAATAAATTCTAGTATTTGAAGTGGCCTTGTTTCAGACCTTATTCGTAACATGTCTTCTACATTCATGGTTTAATGAATTCAGCATTGACACTGCAATGGATTTCAGACCATTACAGCTAGTCCTTGTGTAATGCACTATAAAAACCAGAGAGAGATGACATCCAATCCTGGTGGCATAAAAATGGATTAGGTGTGCTGTGCTTGATGGATTTTCGACTTGTTATATGATTGTTATTTCTAAATAGTTTGATTGGTCAACAGACTGGCCCACTACATATATATCATGCATATTCCTTAATGCACATCCTCTTGTGTGACTCGGACTATACACATGAAGCGCCAGATGTGGATGTAACCATACACAGGAGCATAACAACTAGAATAATAGGCAAGATAATAATTAGAGAAAGTTTTAAACTCATCATGTTGACTCAGATGCAATGTTAGATTCATATACTGCAACGGGGCATACTGTGGTTGACGTAGTGGAAATGATTGACACTATCTATCCACATTACAAATGAATTGTTTAAGAAGCTCCTGAAGTTGCTTAGACATTTAAACTTTCAGGTTTCTACTATCAAACTGTGAATCTTATGCTAGTTATGCACTGAGAAGAAGCAGCATACAAAAAAGGAAAATTCTCACATATATCTACTGGTTCCAATCAAAATATATCCTCGCATGTGTCTCTACTGGTTCCAATCACATATATCCACATTACAAATGAAATGTTTAAATAGCTCCTGAAGTTGCTTAGACAGGTAAACTTTCAGGTTTCTACTATCAAACTCTCTGAATCTTGTACTAGTTATGCACTGAGAAGAAGCAGCATACGAAAAAGGAAAATTCTCAAATATATCTCTACTGGTTCTAATCAAAATTTTGTTTTACATTGTAAATACGATGATTCGATTTAGATTGAGAATTTAATTGATTTCACAATGTCCATGGAGAAACATGCCTTAGCGTGGCTGTCTACTTTATGTCATAGCAGTTGCTTTTGATCACAGATTTACGGCTTCTCCTGGGCAGTATTGGCTGGCATTGTCATGATATTCAAGGTGTGGATTCATGTTTCTGTTTGCATTTTCCCTGCTATGGTTGGCTTTTGTCGGAAATTTTAACTGGTGCTATTTGTGGTTTCTTGTTGCTGTGCAGATTTATACTTTTAGCCCAAAAAAATCTACCAACTTCCTACTTTTTGCACGATTTATTCAAGGAGTCACATCATTGGGACTTATCGCAGCTGTCTGCCTTGTTGTTCGATTTACTAATCTGTCAATACCTGACCTGTTCGCAAGTGTTCTTGCATTTATTCCTACCGGCTGGGGCATACTTTGTGTAAGTACTTAAGATTAAAAACCAAACTTTTATGTGTTGTTGTAAATTCTTGTTTCTAAAGGTGGCACTGCTTGACATTTTTAACCTCCTTTGTGTTTGAACTGAAACAGCTGGCAATTACATGGAAGAAGGTAGTTTGGAGACTAGGATTATGGGACTCAGTAAGGGAGTATGCCAGAATGTATGATGCCGGGATGGGTATGCTCATCTTTGCTCCAATAGCTATTTTGTCGTGGTTCCCTTTTGTCACCACTTTTCAATCTCGTCTTCTCTTCAACCAAGCATTTAGTCGTGGCCTTGAGATCTCTCTGATCCTTGCTGGTAATAAAGCCAATGTTGAAGTCTAAACTTTGTAGTCGCCAAGGTATGCTGCTTCTGTTGTACGATAGAGCCTCGTAAGTCAGATAGAGTCCCTAGTTGTCCTTTACTTTTCTCCCTTTTTCTTTTGCTTCTGTGGTTATTCAGAGTAAATATGTCTGTACATGCTCATACTGGAGAGAGAAATGTATATGTGAGGAATATTGTCGTGGTTGTCTCAATCTTTGAAGTACCCAGGACTTATATTTTGTGAAGTCTGATGTTGTCCTGGCTCTCTCAGTCGCAAGTTTGCGGTAGAACAGTCGGTTCTCCTTTCGCCACGCTGATGAGGATATTGGTTAGGAGCCTCTGTGAATCTGAAATGTTTGGGTAGATGGTTCCTGTCTGATTAATTGCATTCCCATCGGTATTTTCTGAATTTGCGAGCCATGTACTTAAAAATATCAATGTATACTTGGTGAAGAGGAGCGGTAATTTAAAATGGAAATTCCACATTCTGCTGTATACCGTGCTCTGCAGCTGCAGCTGCATCGTTGATTGCTTCCAGAAAAGCCTTTCGAGATAATTTTGCCCTACAGGATGGGGCTTTTATATCATCCCGAGAGTTCGAATAGAATTACCATGCCGGGTCCAAAGATCATGGCGGCGCGATTCCCTAATATATACTAAATAATCAGCTTGCTGCGGACGGGGAAGAGAGTGGATTTTTGAGCTGCGAATTTGGGCTCTACGCCATATTTGATTTGAGTTCTTGAGTGCATGATGATGTCTTGACCGTTGGCTCTGGTTGACGATTTTTGGACTGCAGCGTCCCCTTCTGAACTCGTGCTTGTAAACAATTTCTCATCTGATTATTGGGTTTCATCTGTTTCGCGAAACATGAATGTATTAGATTAACATTTTTTAAAATATTATTTCAAGCGATCATTTAAAAAAAATATTATCTAAAGCATTCATTTTTTGCGAAATAGATAAAACTTAATATTATTATCGATAATAATTTATGTCTAAATAATTTCATGAGGATAAAATTAATTTTCGTTCATTTATTTTTTTAAGTGATTTAAACGATCACTTTTTGAAAAATATTATTTAAATTATTTATTTTTCAAGAAACAAAGATATCTTTGATGACTTCTAACTTGTGATATGACGAAATCATTTTTTTTTTAACCACAGAAGCCCCTCTGCTCGTTCCGGCATACATTTCGACTCCTTATGTTTGCCTACATAGCATTCACCGCAACACGTTTTGTCCGGACGCTTGCAGGGCTTATAGCTTCATGGGAACGTTTTCGGAAAGTACGTTTGAATTTCTTGGAAGACAGCCTAGTTAGGTATGGCAGCCTAAAAATTGTAGGGTCATACACCAAGTGCTCACAACTACTGTCGCGTATACTTAAGCTGTTAAAATGCGGTCGGAAACCAAGTGCCTCGTTATCTAATTGAGCAGGACTTCCATAGGAGATGGTTGAAACAGAATGCTGACATATCTTTTCCTCCATGTTTTACGACTATTCAAACTTCACTTGCGATATCGCGTCATTTAGGGACAAACTACAGTAAAATCCCAGTATTCCTGGCTCTGCTCCATCTTACGGTAGTATTGCAAATGAGAATTTACCTAATAAACAAACTAGAGCTCACTGCATCTCATATATGATCGGTGATCAGCGAGGATTAGAACGTGTGGGAACTCGCCAGTACAATAACGACTTATAAAGTAAGGAATAGGTAAGCCATTTTCAGTAGCTTTGTTACAGAGAGAGGTTAGCAACCACTCTGAGTGCGGCCTTTATGTAGGGTAAGCTACGCAACAAATCTCCCTTCCCATATTCATGAATGATGTGAGGTTATCGATACCCGCATCTGTTGGCTTTTATTATTCCATAACCAGTTCACCTTGAATGTCCAAACAGATGCATTTTCTTCAGTAAGGCAACAATCTGCAACCGTTGTATCACAGACTAAATTTGCATATCCGTACAAAAAACGATTTGTGCCTTGCACAACTTCGCTGTTTTTGCCTATTCCTGATTAGCAGTTTCACTGATAACCACCAATCCCGCAACCAGAAAAGTCCCAAAATAAGCCTAAAACTGAGACAATATACAATTATTTAAGTACTAACCAGTTAACAACATTGGAAGAAAGCACCACTCACTGGAGATCTCGGGGTAGCTGGACATAAGTTAGAATTCTTCATGTTCAAGAGAAGAAATGAAGCCAGGGAGACTAAAGCCTACAAAGCTAGAAAGCAGTTGAGCTATACAGATTGCTGAATAGCATCGTTTGAACTCCTTGTCCCATCTATCATTGGCCCATCACTTGTGGCAGAGTCGCCAACTGAAGATGGCTGATCTAGTCCGGACATGGTTGATGGAGCCAAGTGCACGGGATGGTCAAATCTGCAAGCAGGACCAAACTTGCAAATGCCATAGCGGCTGTAATATGAGCAGATGCTCTGATCCTGGATATAAACATATAGTCACATTTAGCTGGAAAGGAATGGAAATGATTGCAATCAAGCAGACAATTCACTTGTCGATTTTACTTTCTCTTTGACCCTGAAACTTTCGAATTCACTAGTTATCACAGAAAAATGTCTTCATACCTTATTGCTCCAGGAAATTAGAGCTTCCCTGACTTCACACAAATATAACTATAAACAAGATCCAAGAAATTCCTTATGGCATTTCTCTGCCAACGTTTTACATTAGGGAGCACCTAAAAAGATCCACCATCGAGAAGACAAATACTAGCACTATGCAAAGCTTCAAGTGTGCATATGAAATGGGTTTTTTTCATCTTTTCCACGATAGAACAATAACAAAGATATAAGACTACAAAGAAAAAGTAAGACACCATTACCGGTCTCAATGGAAGGCCCTTGTCACTCAGCACAACCGGAGGTGACTTTGAGATTCGATCCTTCGGATGGTGATATTTGCAATTAGACCTGAACTTACAATCCCCAGTTTTCAGAAAGTAACTGCAGTCAGGTTGGCCAGGTCGTTCTGGAAATTCATCGATCACCATCTGATGATGGGTATAGATATGGCTATCAGTCACGGGGTGCTTCATGATATATGCTGAAGGAGGGCGCACAACTGGTCCCGGTGGATTGACGGGAAACTTGACAAGCCACAAGCAGATACAAAACAAAATAAATGAGAGAAGGAGCACTCTGTTTGACCAATGTCCAACACATGCAAACCTCACAGAGACAAGACTAAGCATAACCACACTATTCCTCCTCCTAATTTACCTAAATAGCCTAACATCAAGAGGACTGAGAAACATGCAAATAGAAGAGCCATAAGTTGACTGGTATACAAAGCATTAAGGAGTGTCAGAAACAGTCTGAAATAGCTTTTGCCAAACTCATAATCTACCATTAGAGCCTTCTTTCATGGGAATTACATTTCTTTCTGTCACAGTGGCTATCTTTGCTACAGTCTAGTTGCTATAAATTTTTATGCTATGTATACACAACTTTGTTTAATATCTAATAGGCAATTTTTATCATATGCGCCAGGACTGGAAAGTTTTGATTCTATGAGGTGCTTAGAATGCAATGTCTATATGTGATATCTATTTATGGAATGCGTACGTTGTGAATATCAGAATTGGTAAAATGTTAAATGGCTTTAGGATCATGTATCTCTAGCAATGTCTTCCGCTAAAAAATTTGAAATGCGTAAAGGGGAGCGGTTTGATGTTAGAATATTTTGGTAATTAGGTGCTTACATGTACATGTCAAATCTTGAGCAGAGGGAGCATCTAAAATGGGGTGATTATAGCACTAACCGTGTATAATCATTACATTTTTTGCTAATCAAGTAGTAGTAATTACATGGTCTGGGAGCATTACTCCTTTATTATTAGGGTACCAAATTAAAATTTAATTTTTATAGTATAACATGGAAGTTCAACAACCACTTGAGTTAGGCCACTTAATGGATTCTCTTGATGTGTGCATTGCTATGTTTTAGCACAATTCAAGCCCTCCCCACCCCCCTTCTCCACATGTGTATCCAAATCCTGCATCCACCATTGATGTTAAGGATCCAGGCCAATAGACATAAGGGCAAGAGGAAACCAAAGAACTCGAGATAACAAAGTGCATACTTGTATGGATAAGTTCTGGGTTTGCTTAACGTATCCTTGTGCTTCTATTTCTGATGGAGGGAAAACCTTCCTCAAAATGATTACTCTCCACATGGCCGAATTACGGCCCATGAAAAAATTTCAACTATGAAAGCCCTGGCCCCCATATCTTAGAAATTTGTGAAAACAATCCATCACCAAGATGCCCATTCCCTCTAAAGCCATGCCTTTTTCCGTAAGGACTAGCAAGTTAAAGATACTATCAGTAATACCGTTTAGCATTTACCTGATAACCGTTCCATTCCGCATTGTGCGATGACACCCCGTGGTTTGGAGAATACATCATAGGTACAAATGGCGCAGCATCGTTCAATGTTCCTTGTGATGACCATGATGCCACCGGAAATTGTGATGCACTTTGCAATGAAGCAGACCCCCCATTACCATATTCTGAAGGAGGGTCACCTCCTCCGGCAGTGGGGTCAGGATGATTATACCTGCAATTAGCTGCATACTTGCAGGATCCATTACGCATGTAAAACGGACATTCTTTCTCTCCCTGTTTAGAGAAAATATCTAGTCAATACTTTCAGGTAGATGGCTTAATTAGACTATGACGAGATTAACAATCTCTTCTTTGTAGTTTACAGAGATATACAGAGAGAGTGTTATATGGATGCTATAGCATACCGGTCTGATGGGCAGGCCCAAAAAGTTAAGCTCTACAAAGGGGGTTACAAATGCTTTTGGCCTGGAGTGGTTGTATCTACAAGCTTTGCCATATTTACAACCTCCTGTTTTTAAGTAATACTGCAACCAACACACTCATGAAGAGTCAAAACATTGCATGAACCGTTAATACAAGAGAAAACTGTCCCTTATCGTACTTGAGCATAGTGAAAACAATAGAAGGATCAACAATCAGTAAAACGTGGTGCAAGTCTCAGATTCATAACGGATACACAAACTAGTGGCAGATTAGCTACCATTTGTCATGACTCGTTCATCTTAGTTAAGAATGTATGAAAAGCTTTAGCACAAAAAATACCGTGTCTAGCCGCAGTTTTACACTATCTTTTGCCATATGATAGCAGAGACCCTAACCAAATTACATTTGCCAGAGCGTATTAGAATATAGTTACTGGTTCCTACGTATCCACGATAACGATTTATCTAACCCCAAACCATCAGAGGATATTGGGGATAGTATGTAATCTCCAATAAACCCAGCCTCTAGACTGCTCAGTTGGATTGCGAGTAAGAAAAGCTATAGTTTGGAGACCATCCAAGAACGTTAGCGAAGACAGAGTGGTGTAAGTACATGATCTGAGGACTCAATAGAAGTTATATTAAGTTGGAAATTAACCTCTACTCTCCTCTGCGGTATTTGCTGAAAGCCAAAAGATGGTGAACTTCACAATGATTGCCCTTAGCAACAGTTATGTGAGAATGATAAATTAACAACCCAACAACATTAGCCCCCGAAAGTTCTACTGAAAACTTCATGGAGATTCAACATGCAAATAAAATAAGCAATCAAATTGATTATTCCACCAGAACAGCTCTCTAACAATAGGTAACATCAGTTGTTCAATATCTGGCTCTAAGAAATTCAAGACCAAAAAGATTTTTTGCCGATGGACCTTAACGGTCAAAGTAATAAAAAGCAGCCATCCATGGTATTGATACAGGATTAGACAGAATGAATAGGTCGTCGCATTTTTTTAGCTCAAAATCGCAAATGCACACAACTTTCAAATGTACTAAGACTAACCTTGCATTCTGTCTGTCCTAGCCTCTCTTTTGGTTCTTCCTTGTCCTTCACCTTATCCTTCGCAACCTTCACGACAGATCGATCCAAAACATGAAAGTCAAAACTACGAACAAAAATAAGCCTTCAAACATCGCATTATCTCGATGATCAGATTTCGAGCACCCCAAGCGTCAGTTCTTCTCTGAACGACATGAACTCCACTCCAAAGTGGAAATTACAGAAGTTTGCCCAAACAATATGCTATGCCGTCGGAAAAAACATTAGATTTAAATGCCATAAGCAAGCCTAAACCTCCATCCAACAACTTCTACCTTATAAGAGTTATTGAGTCATCACCCAGATGAGACATACACTATATTCATCCACACCACTTCCAGATACAAATCGAGAATGGCACAAACAGCACTTACTCGGTTAAAGTTGCGAGCTTTATTCTACAAAAATGCCGCATAAGATACTGCAAATCACTAGCCGACATACCTGATTCTTCCGTCGCACTGGATGATTGAACTTGCAATTGGATCCAAATTTACAAGTGCCCGTCTTGATATAAAAGGAGCAGTCCTCCGCCTCAGGCCTCACCGGATACTTATTAACCCTCCTCCTCTCCTCTCTCTTCTCGTCGTCGCTCTGGCTATCCCCATTCTCCTCCTTCTCCCCGTCGTCGCCGCTCTCTCCTCCGCTCTTGCCGTCGCCGTCCTCCGCCCCGCGAGCGTCCGCGTCCGCGTCCGCGCCCGAGCCCTTCTCGGCTCCTCCTCCGTCTTCGACGACCGACGGTTCCGATGCTCCCCCAACACAGAGGCGCACCAACTCCTCCGCCAGCTGGTTCTCCGCCGCCCGATCGGGATCGGGCGTCGTGGGATCGGGCCTGGCGACCGATTGCGGCGGCGGCGGGGGCGGGGGCGGGGACGGCGGGTCGGGGCTGCCGTCGGGGTCGGCCATGGTGGGTTCTTCAGAGGAGGGGGCCTCCTTGGAGCTGAAGATCCATCTAAGCAGAGCCTTGGATGACATTCCCGAAACACATTTCGAAGCTGCAAACTCAATCCCAAGCTCCCGCAGGCACAGCAGAAGCAGAAGGCGAAGAAGAAGAAACAAGTGTGAACGAGGACAAAGAAAAGGTGTTACTTTTAGCTGGTACGTGTATCCAAGAACAGTATTTTGAGCACAATTTTTATATTATACTTCTCTTGTTTATTATTATTATTATCATTATTATTTTAATACGTTTTTTTGTGGTATTTGTAGAGGCGTATTTTCGTGTGGCGTATGCGTATATACATACATGTATTGATCCCAGATTAAGAGCTAGAGTTTAGGGAGTGAGACTTTGAGATTAGTGTTGATGGGGGGAGAAGCGAAGGTGCTGGCATTTGGTCTATTTATTGAAGATTAGGGGTTATTAATTTCGGGACCGACGCATTTACTCGATCCTAAAAACGTAACATTTTTCGCCTAATAACCGCGAATTGCGGGTATTAATAGTAACCGATTGGCATCTTAGGTTTCGCTGATGGGGTGGTGGTCCACGTGTGGAATGGTTTTCCATCAAACATTTGATGGAGCAAAATTTCGGGTTTTTCTTTTTTCGTTTTTGGGAAAATATTTTTTTAAGTTAATTTGCGTTTTTAAAGATACCCATTAAAAATTTTGTTATTAGTAGACATCATAAGAAGAAAGTGTTTCTAGGTTTGACATTTTCATTACCATGAACACCACAGGTACCGCTTTCATCTTCTAATCTAATAACCATGCATCGTCTGTGAACACAAACTAACTTGATTGGTGACCGAGCTTCAATCTTGACAGGAGCTACCCCTTGCCCAAAAGAGAAAGAGAATGCGAAAGAGAATCGAGTCATCCTACACTCATTTAGCTCGAGTTTATTGTCGGATTCGACGAGTTCGACATAAGGCAACCGATCCTAATAGGTAAAACGCACCGAGTTGATACAAGCCGAACACAAAGTATCGAAACTTCAAAGATCAAACTTGTGGTGAACTGAACAAGCCGTATGCAATAATACCGTCCTTTACACCGAACAGTAAGAGCTCTTCATTAGCATTATTCCGGCCCGGAAACGCCTATCCTTCGGCAATCACTAGTCAGTAAAGCATATGTCTATAGGATGCATAAAACCACCCGACACAGATGACTCGTGCGGTGCCTAACCCCCTACCAGGTGAGGCGTGAGAATCGACCTAGGAGGAATTCAAACCCCTCATTCCATGACAACAGAACCAATCTAGTGGGGCTAAAACCATTCTCGAGAAGTTAAAAAGACCGCCCCGAGACACCGAAGCTCTTTTAACAGGCTGTAGACCAGATTGCTGAATCTGGACCATGAGTATAATCTTCATGATGTGCACCATTCATCGAGTATGTGAGGGATCTTTCTAGCTAAGCAATGTGACCCAATCTAACTCAACATTAAGCAAGCTCGAGCCCAGATGGCATGCTCATCATGAATCTTTCAAGTACCGACAATTCTTTCAATCCAGTCTTTTCATCAAACGATGCTGAGAATGGGAACTTCATACTCAAAGTAGACAGATTCTCTCACAGCCATCCTCCACCAGCTAAAGCAAAAGATTCCACTTGTTCCAATTGGGATGCCATGAGATCAGAAAGCGCATCACCTACTTTTTCCCACTTCCTATCTAGACAGTTCAATCAACAAGCAAAGACTCTAGTGTACATGAAAGAGCTTCTGAGCAGAGTCCAGAAGCCATTGGGTATGAGTAAAACAAACAATACAGTAATTCCGAATCTACCGCTTCACATTAATAATTGGTTAGCCCAAAACTTGACCAGAAATGTATATGCTGACGGGCCATTGCAGGTATATTAACATGATTTTGGACACATTAATCCTAATATTGAATTTCAGTCTGACAAACACCTGTACCATGCTTCTATAAATAAATGCACTGTCGCTCGAATAGATGCCCATCACAGGAATGCATGAAATATCATAACCTCAAGTTGAAAACTTGGCTCTACACAGAATCTGATATGGCTTCTGAAAGCTCAAGGGAGACAGGGCAATGGTCGCTTCCATAAAAACCTGCGTTGTGCTCAATGTCTTAGCATGAGGCTGAAGCTGCAGAGATATTAACTGAAGAAGAAGAGGAGGAAGAAGAAGGAATAGCATAAAACCACTCAGAACTTCATCAGGTACTATTGAAGTCTTCATTAGGAAAAAGTAAAATCACACTTTATAATTGGAGTGGACTGATGAATGGACCTTTAGGTCTCAGTCTCCGGTGGGAAGGAAAGCAACTTATGCAAATTCTATATATGTACTTTTGTCGCATGTCCATTAGAATAAATTCTGCATGGAATTTCCCATCAGAACCGAAATTACAAAAGTAAAATTATTTTAAAAGATTTCAATGAGCAGACAAATGAAAACAATGCACTTCCCAGTCAGACATGTTGACCTACCATAAACTAATTTAATTATAATAAAATTATGCATTTTTTCTAGTTTGATCGTATATAACAAGCTACAGAAGACAAGGGAAACATAAAACGAGCCGAACCTTCCAATTCAATCCCTCGCCCGTGCATCTCACATGATCTGATCCTATCTTTGAACTTCTCCGAAACTATGAAATAATCGATTCTCATTCTTTTTCCTCTATACCTGCAAAAGAAACAGCCATTCATCACCTTGTGGCGTAACCAATAAAATCTTCAATGCGATCAATCGCTCTTCTCGATTTAGCAGATATGAGCAACTCAAATAATGCTTCATCATATACACATGCATGCAAGGATAGGTTGCTTCACATACTTCCCAATAGGATTTCCGGACCACGAGAAGCCACACTCCATATCTTTATCTTTGTGCAGGTATCGGTATGCATCTATGAGTTTTCCCCTAAAGCATAATTCCAATAAAAGCAACTAGAGTTAAAAATAAGTGTTGACGACACAAAAGTTTCCAAGAACCAATAAAGTGAAATCATATAAATAACATACTCCTTCACTATGGCTCCAAAGCGCTTCCTCTCAGCCAAGGTAAATCCAGGCTGTCCACAGTCCTGGGTGTGCAAACAAAGTTGAAAGTCACAAAGAAACGATGAATACTCCATCGAAGACATTAAACTACCTACTTTCGGTGAACTTTGCATATATAGAGAGTGTAAGATGGTTTCACGGTATTTCCAAGTAAAGAAGGATTTTAAATTAAAGAGTCTGAAGATGGAAGGCATATGACTTATAGTTAAGGTCCATAATGTCTTCAAGAATCCGGGCTAGCTACGAGGCAATTCCCTTAGATCTTAGAATATTACACATCTAAGGTTTTAACATCTCTTGTAGACATTTATGCACATGTTTGAATGAATGAAAAGGCAAAACACAAGTCTTAAATTCATTTCAAGGTAAAAATATCAAAATGCTACTTCGAGTAAGTACATATCTTTGGAAGTCGAATCCCTTTGCAGTTTCCCATCTCTACATTCCACGTGCATTATTCATTTTATGGCAAGAGATGCCAGTCCAAAAGCCAAAATGTAAAGGCAAACAAGGGAAAAGTTTATTCTATTTATTCACATGACCTTCAGATGACAAAATTGTCACACACAACCAAGGAAATGACACTCCAGTTCATAGCAGAAACGGTCTATATAGTTCTTTAAAACCTTCTGTTACAACAAAACAGTAAAGTAAGCAATTAGTCACCTAGCAAAAAGACACACCTGACAACAAATGATTCAGTGAGCAGTCCCTGCTCAATCCCACCCAATTAAAGTCTCATACCGTAAGCCAAAGGAAGATGAATAAGCAAAGAATGAGATCTAGACATTGCCAACATCCAGAATATCCAGTTGCACACAAACATTACCTCTGCATTAGGAGGGACATAACCATTTTGTTTTGCGGCGCTAAAGAAATCTGGATGACTTACATCAACCTCTTCATGGCTGCAGATGATAAATAAGAAGAAGCCAATACTTGCATGATTAACTGCACAAAGTGCCACGTCATCATACTGCAAACAAGTTCGTTTAGAAACCTTCAAAAGCATGCTTAGGGGTATGAAAGTTGAAACAAGCATACCGTGTTTAATTAAAATATTGTTGAAATTGATATATAACTTGGTGATACAAAAATTTCCTTTAAGTCAATGCAAAACTTGCAGTAGTTTACAGTAGAAGGTTCGATCTTAATTTAAGCTGAGTGATAGTCAAAGACCATCTGAGCTAAGAACAGTAGGCAGCTCAATATTTGCAAACAAAGACACACCATCGACAGGCCATCTGGCATCATAGCATATGCTATCCTCAGGGTTAAACTTTTTGAAGGCACATTTTATGACATTTCACAGGCCATAGCAACTTCAATGTTGTGAAAATGGAAAGAAAAAATGCAAGACAAAGGACAACGCAGCAAGATGGAATGAGATTGTGATCGGCAACTAAAATAGTACTGAGACAAAGTCAAAGGAAAAGAATAAGAAAAGACATGACCTCACCTCACATTAAGATCACCGCACCAAATCAAGGGCTTGTCTAACGACTTGACAACAAACTCTAGTAACTTTTTATCCCACTTCCTTCTTCTTTGAAATGAGTTCTCCTCATCCCTCCAACCATTGTTAGGGGAATATGTATTCAACAAACGAAATGTCTCAAATTCAGCCAAGATAACTCGACCGTCTGGCTCGTGCTTTGATGCTACACAGAGACAATAAGAGCATGATAAGGAGTGCATTCTCCATTCATCCACAGATATAAACACTTAAGGAATGGATTCTCTTCAATGCAATTCTCTTTGCAAAAATTAGCATTGATTTTAGACATGCCTCCACCTATGAACTTAAGCCTCTAAATAGTGGGCACTATCACATAACTTATTCATGATATCAACGCCAGAGATCCTCTTCCCTTCCTACTTCTGTCATTAGTAGGTCCCACCCCTAACTTGATTGCACCTACTATAGCTAAGCATGCTATCGTGGTTTTAGGATCTCCAAACCCTCCTTCCCCTCCATGAGAATATTATATTCAAATTCCCGGTTTTAAATATCAATAGTCAATCCACAGTTTCATTGTATAAGCTCAAACTTTCATATGCGTTGACACCAATATCCAACTAATATAACAGCTAACAGTTGAAAAAAGAATTAGTCGACAGTTTATAGTCTCTGATTTTGATCTAATATCTGACTCCAGTAGAGCTGGAAACAGATGATGGAAGAATTAGAAAAGATAAGAGAAAGATGCCCTTCATTGAAGTTTAGAATCAAATCAACAAGAAGTGATGAACGAAGGGTTTTACTTTAACAATTCCACCGCAAAAGAAAGAAACAGAGAAAACCCTCGAGCAATTACTATCCTTCTAAGGCATCTATGCTTTAACTTACAGTCTGCAAACTACCCCTTCAAACTAAAGAGGAAGACTGTGCAGAAAGGGTCCACATTCAGATTAAGGTAAAATAAGTTGGGACAACTTCCTCTTTCATTTTGGACGGTATAGGATAGGTCATTATAGGGCACCAAGGGAGTGCAGATCCTTTAAACAATCTATTCAACAAAAGTAATAGAACAATATTTACATTTAAAATGTTAATTCATTCACGCGAAATGTATCACATAAAATTTCCCTTTCTCTTGAATAAATTATCTTAAATTGTCCTATTAGAAAATTTACCTCCTCTTTCGCTAATATTTCAGAATTTTCAAATAGGAGATATTGAAGGGTCAAAATGAATCTAAATTCTAGTAGGATCAAAATTCAAGAGCTTAAAATTTTTAGCAAGATAAAAATTTTATGAAGTACATCAAATAAAATAAGAAAAGGAGAGTTCAGTGGGTGCAATTGTGCAGACTGGACAATGCTTGGTGTCGTCCCTGTACTGAAACATGTGCATCTGAGTACATTTTCAATTCTAGTAAAAATTGCTTAAGCATACGTACAATTAAGTCTTCCATTCCCAGTTTCACCAAGGAGGAATTGTTTTTAGGCCAAAAACAGGAAATAACTTCTTTATCAAGTACCTTTGCTATCAAGTAAAAAGGAGACTTTTGGCTGGAAGCACTTCTTCACTAAAAGCGCAGTCCCTGCATACTTGAAATCTCCAAGGGACCACCAAACACAATAGTTTCCAAAGGGGGGACTTGAAAGCGCGCGCATCAGTATCTACTCACATGGAGAAATGAAAAGGCACAAACATTCTCAATTAGCACGGCCATGAGCATTAGCACTTCAAAAGTGATAGCACACGATTACCTTCTTTTCCTCTCGTGAGGAGCTTGTATCATCTTTCAACTCTCCAGGATTTTTTGGCGCGCCTTTTGAACCAGCTGCAGGCATCCTTACTTCCTAACAACCCTGAGCTGTTAGATGATTTTCTTTACCAAAAAACTCCACAAGGTACCAACTTAAAAAATCCAGCATGTTACGCACCGCAAACAGCTATCATCACAGACATGTTTCAAATCAAGACAAAAGAGAGAAACAAAGGCGCTGGAGTTCAAATTTCGATTCACGGACATGCCTCCTTTAGTCATACAATTTGAACAATAAACCAACTCGAACGGAAGCTATTTTAGTGTGATAGAAGCAAGTCTATTCCTACCTAGACAAAATTTCCTTTTTTTTTTTTGGTAAGGGACAAAATTTCCTTCTTATCATTAGATTGTAAAAGAAAATGTGCACCAACCGGAGAAACCAAAATGAAGCTCGCAGTTTGAGATGTACAAACAAACATAACACGGGTCACGCCTGGGCAGACCACCAACCTCTTTACGCAAATGCAGCAAAAGCCGGTACTTTCGATCCCACCCAAGGCCCAAAAACAAAAGATCTACAACGAGAGCAGAAAAAAACCGAAAACCCAATTCCACTTCATCGTCCGCAGCCGTGAACACGGAGAAGCCCCCTCTTGTTTTCATATCGCAACTCCAATGGCTGATCGAACAGATAGAAAAAAAAAAGAAGCATAAAGTGAGTGATGGGTTAAGTCACCTGTATTGCAATGACGTCCGGGTCGAGATCGGAGACGAACTTGGCGAATTCGGGCCAGTTGTTCTTGACGCGGAGGAGCAAGCTGTTGGCATTCCAAGTCACGAACTTCAATGGGTCCTTCCTCCTCTTCTTCTCATCGCCCGTCGCTCCGCCGTCGTCGCAGCTCTGAGACGGGGCGGGCTTCTTGCTGGGGCCGTCTTTCTCGACGGGCTTGAAGAATCGCTTCATCCTGCGTTTCCCTTCTCCGCCCCCGCCGCTTCCTGCTCTCCGCTCGGCCTCTCTCCGGTGGCCCCCAAGGCGTCTGGTCCGTCGAGGAAAGGCAACGCGAGTAGCGGGGGAACTGTACTGCGATCCGCCTCGCTCGTCGGACCCCTCTGTAATCACAGCTTTCCCCGGGGTGGGGGTTTCTGATTTTTGAAACCGTTAATATTGGAACTAATTGAGCCGAAATCCCTTTTTAATTGTGTCACTTAAATCTTAAGCATTTTTACTTTTTATCAATTGAGACCATTAGTCAATTTTAGTCGAAACTCAGTGAGGTGGATGCCGATGCTCTTACGTGGCGTCACCAGCGTTGACGTAGATAATTTTTAATAATATTTTAAAAACATTTGATTTTTTCTTTCTTCCTTTCTTCCTCTAGCCAATCCCCGATGGCAACCGACCCGAGGCAAGGGCCGGCAAGGTGGACCCAACAACAGCAAGGTTGACCTCGCCTAGTAGCCGGTGGAGGCGAGCTTCGCCAGAGACCTCGCCCGGGCCTAGCCTCTGGTCAATCGCCACTGGTCAGGCAGCGACCGTCTAGAAGAAAAAGGAAAGAAAAAAATAAAAATAAATAAAAAAATTCGAAAAATATTAAAATTTATCAACGTCAGCGCCGACGGCGTCACGTATGACGACCGGTGTCCATGTCGGCGATTTCCAGCTAAAATTAGCAGGATTGACTCAATTGACAAAAAAGTGACTCAATAGATATAATTAAAATATTTAGAACTGAATTGGCAAAAAAATAATGGGTTCAAAATTTTTTTGACAATTTTCTCGTAAATCCTTGGCCACGGCTTCCATGCATCTCCACCATCATTGGACCCTTCATCGTTCCTCAAACAGACGTCCCGGTGCCATTTGTACAAAGGAAGATGGGTCCAAGAAAGCACCGTTCCTGGGCTCAACGAGCTTTTCTTTTCATCAAAATGGGCAAGGGTCGTCAAAGAAGATGTCTGAAAATTCGTTTCGTTAAGATGAATCCAACTTCGCAATGGGCCGATAAAAGAAGCGGCCCGTGAGCCTGCGGGCGCTTACTCTTTGTGTGTTAATCACCCGAATAAAGAAATATCGTCATTTCCAAATGAGCCATCTATCTTGTTTCGTGTGTAATCGAAGTATTGAAAATGACAATTCTCCTTCGTAAAGTATGATTAAGGAGACAAGGGTGACCATTCATCATTGAGGTTCATTTAGCTTAAAGTAATTTATGACGAACAAATCGTCCTATGATTCAAATTTTTCCCCTGAGGAATAACAATGTTAAAATCACTATTTCGGAGCTTGTTAAAATGTCTCGAAATTATTCCAGTAATTATAATTGCTCATCTAGTTACGAAAGGAGGGAAATAAGAGATTGAGATTGAAATAAGGTAAGCCCCGACAAACTCGTCGTGACAAGAAAAATCGACTCCGTGATTTCAAGGTTCTAAACTTAGAATTTTACATTCTATCTCATAAATTATAGAATGAAAATAATACACGGTCTTAATCCAAACACGATAAATTGGTGATCAACCTTGTGCTTTCATATACTCCCATGCATCATAAGTACGGACATACCTTCAATATAGCTTGAAAATGTTGTTCTCAGCGCATTTCAGCCGTCGGATGAACTTTGACTCGTTTCGAGGCATCCGATCCAACGACCGAGAGACGCACCAAGAACAGCTCACGTGACGAGAATTCATAGCTGTTCTATGATTCGGCGGATGCACCAAGTGAGTTTGATAACGAAACGATTCGAATTTATTCTCCTCCGACAGGGACCGGGGGCGGACCCACCCTTTCTTTTTTTTTTGGGTCGGTGGGGGGGACCCACCTTAATTGATTGAAAAAGGCACGACGAATTCGTCCCCGCCAGTTGTGGATGAATTGGCTGTCTCTTTCCCCTTTGCTTTTCTACACCATTGGTCCATCCATCTTTTCAAAGATAAAAATGAACATATACGTGTCCACGCAAAAGAAATGACCGACTTGTTATTATAATCGACGTGGCGGTTTAGTCGATAATAGCACGGCTCGGTGAAATTGTCGAAAAAAGGACGGTCGATAACTTAAAGAGCATCGACAGCTTGCCATAAAAGTTATCGACGGCAAATATCGGTGTATTGAAGTTATCGACATGGACATGCAACAACAGAATAAAGATATTTTCGAATATATAACTTCTTTTATATAAGTATTACCAGATGGATTGTTATGCTTGTGGCTACTTTTTTAGGATTTTGTAACTTCTTGTGGATAAATGTCATAGTGATTTCTCGTGATCGCAAATAGGATAAGGAAGTTATTTGTTCAAAAGAGAGGATTAGGAAGTTCTATTTTTAAATTCGATAACCGTTTGTAACCGTCGATAATGAGCTTTAAATAGCCACATTGTACTCTTTGCAAACCCCTAATCAATCACAGAACTCAATAATGGATCAATTGTTGTATTCTAACCAATCATGCAACAACGGTCTGCATGATCTTACATATCGTTGCATGAACAGTATAATCCATACGACGAAAAAGCTCGAGGCAAGGAAATATAATAGTTCGACTAACGGGACGCACTCGATCAATCGTATTGCTTGTATAACACGCATCAACTTCGCCATCTGAATACTAAAATATTTTCGTTGTGATGGTGAATCCGACGCATGAAATACGTTCTCGTAACTAAGGCCCTATTTGGTTCAGCATTTGGAATGCTCATTTGGGCTCTAAAGTCCCTTGGCCAAATGCAAATGGTGTTTGACAATTTTTTTTACTCACTTTGGGGAGATGCAATTGCATTTGGAATGCTACCCAAGGGACCTTTGGCCAATGCTCCACCGGAGGTGCTTTGGGAGGTTGCATTTTCGGAATGCAACTTGCACTGTTCATCGACACTGTTCATCTTCCCCAGACCGAGGTCCGGCAGCCGGCGACCTCCGCCTGAGGGCTAGCCCGACCCCGGCGACCATCGCATGGGGGTCGCGCGACCCCGGCGACCATCGCCTGAGGGTCGCACAACCCCGGCGACCGCCGCCTGGGGTCGCGCGACCCTCAGGCGACCACAACCTGAGGGTCGCGCGACCCCAGGCGGCGGTCGCCGGGGTTGTGCGACCCTCAGGCAACGCTTGGCTTGGGTGGCGCGACCCAGGTGACGCCCGAGGTCCGGCCACCCCAGGCGGCGGTCGCCGGGGTCGCATGATCCCAGGCGGTGGTGGCCGGCGACCAGATATGGTTGTCGGCGGTTGGCTGGCGACCAGATCTGGGCGGCGGCGGTTTAGCTCCACCGGAGCTTTTTTTTTAAAAAAAAAAAATTAGCAAAAGTCCTTTAGCCCAAGTTGATTTTAAAAAACACTTACCAAACACTACTTGCATTTCGAAAAACCCCTTTAACCCAAAGTCAAACCAAACGGGCCCTAAGTACCTCCGATGTGATTTGCTCTAGCAAGGTTTCATGTTTCACCAAACCATAGGGCTAGCAAATTGGACATAAAAAAAAGGTAGTGGGTTTGGTCGGCTAATCAATTTATATGCATTCCTACCCTTGTGATTGTAACGCACTCATATCATGGTTGACCAAAAGGCTTAATTTTGTCAACTGTACTTTATATTAAAATACATGCAAATTTGGTAAAGATGAGGAATGGGGATAATTGGAGTCGCATGTATCCCTTTGAGGCGCACACAAAGCCAGCCGATAGATTGCCGACAGCTAATGCGCTAGCGAAAAGCTAATAATGCAACAACACGACATCATTGCATCGCATTGCATCGGGCGGCGTGGACCCGACATGCGCTGCTGCTGGTTACATCAATGGTCGTCGTATTTTTCTAATCCAACCCAGCCACCCCGGCATCGTTCCTTCTTTTCTCATTCCCCTTTCTTGTTTTTTGTTTTTGGGGGGGCACGGGCTGCTCAAGAATCTCTCCCTGCCTCCTCCTCCTCCTCCGGCTACTACGATCAGAATCGCTCGTGTCAGTACCCCAAATTCCATCCGTCAGAGCTTTAGCGATGCAAGTGATGATCTTGTTCGTCGAGCTTCGAAGGCCCAATGCTCTCGGAACAGCAATGGATTATGCACCAGGCACAGCACGCAGCGCGACCGAACTAGAGATCTTTACTCGATTTGGATGTGTAAAGGAGCTAAATTCTGAAAGCCCATTTCGGTGATTTCTTGAAATGCGTGGAGTTTAACTTTGAGGTAATAAAGATTCTATTTTTGGAGAGAGCCGAGGCCGGATCGATGCAAGATCCGATGGAAATCCGTCTCTCTGTTTGTGCGCACGAAGAAGATTGCACAACCTCGTGAATGATGAGGGATGAGGATGACCCATCTCTTGTTATCGCTTCTTGGCTCGGATAAAAGAGCATCCCGAGTCGAGATCGGGCAAGAACCACGCAACCGCACCTCATCTTTCCGGGAAAATTATCCGCGCATGGCCAAGAGCCCCGCACAGATTTTCCCGAGAAAAGTTACAGAGAGAACAATTCCTCATTTATCACGAATTCGTGTGTACAATCTCTATCTTCGACCTGGGTGTCGTGAATTTTTCCCAGATGATCAAGAATAAACGAATCTATAGAACGAAAAGATGGAAAAAGGACCTTACCAAAAAAAAAAAGATGGAAAAAGGAACGAATGAGCGTGTAAGTGTAAAGAATGATTCATGACCTGCGATTTTGCTGCTGCTTCTTCTTCGTCTTCTTCCTGAAGACGACCTCAGTGTCGAGGCCAAACCCGTCGATGGTCTTCGTCTCCACCAGCTCCGACTCCCTGAACATCTCCACCAGCGGATCCAGGCTGTACAGGTCGTTGGCCGAGTACTTGTCCGTCCGGTGCTTGACCGTCACGTGGAGCACGCAGATCCCACCGGGCTTCAGCGTCCGCTCGACCTCCCCGACGAACTTCCACGGGTACAGCGCGTGGTCGAACACGTTCGAGAACTCGAAGTCGAACGTGGCGTTGGGGAAGGGCTGGTCGTGGAAGTCGCCCTCGATCACCAGCGGGGGGCGAGGCACCAGATCGATCCCGATCGAGTCGTTGACGCCGACCAGCTTCAGCGCCGCCACCTCCTGCCCCACCCTCGCCCCGATGGAGAGCGATCTCGAGGACGCGGAGAGGAGGCCCCTGCTCTTCAGGCTCTCGAAGAAGCGGGCGAAGACGCGGACCTTGCGGTCCCAGTCGCGGGTGGTCCAGATCTTGCGGAGGTTGGGGTTGAGCGTCTTGTTGAGCTGGTGCTGGATGTAGGCTTCGTAGGAGGTGTACCCGGGGCGGATTCGGATGCCGCCGCCGCCGGAGGAGGCGGGCGGGGGCTCCTGGGCGGCGGCGGGGCGGCGGTGGAGTGGGGTCTGGGAGGCGAGGAGGAGGAAGACGGAGAGGGAGAGGAGGAGGGAGAGGACGAAGGGCTTGAGGAGGAGAGGCAGTTTGGAGACAGCGAGGACTCTCATGGCTGCATGCAGAGAGACACAGAGAGAGAGAGAGAGAGAGAGAAAGACGAATGTTTTTTGTATGGGAAGAGTTTGTATGTTTTAGGTGGGTGTCTGGAGTTTCCGAGTGAGCTCTTGTCTTTTTGTTTTTTTTCTGTGCAACCTGGGAAGATGTACACCGGTGTGTGTTTGTTTTCACTTTTGGCAACTTCCCAAATATGACCCACTCACTAAGTATTGATCTGGGGAAAGGAAATGGGAAAGGGAAAGGGCAAGAGAATTCTCTATAGATCACTTCGTCACGGGCCGAAAGTTTGCTAGCCGAGGATGATCCCACACGGCGCCTGATGAGCCGGAACACCGGGCCCGCTTTCTCTCTATAGATCGTTTCCGAGGGCGCTAATCGCTTCCCCATCATTGATCATTCCGCGCATAATTTAGTTGGAGCATCCAGTCCTTCGATCGAGACATACAGATTACTTTAGATCGGGCTTCGACAACGATTAGTTTTGCCTAGCTGGGACCATCGTCACAAGAGCGACGTCAGCTTCCGATCGATTTGCGCGCGGGAGGCCAACCCCACCTTTAGAGATCATTTAAGATGATAATAATCTCATTCCCGGATATGTAACACAATAGTTCTAATGTCATTCTTACGAACCAATTGTATCAAACCTTTTGCATATTTCACATTTCAACTCAATGCCGCAAAACTCCACTTTCCGCCCACGAGGGTAATGGGAGAAAGCAGATCGTGATACTCTCCTCCATCCAATTTCCGCAAGCCCTCGTTGGCGGTTATTCTGATGCTTCCTTAACGTACTTCGATCATTCTTACCACTCCCTTGGGATTTACCTGAATGACACATTCTCCCAACAAAAAATGCCATTCCATTCCGTCGATTGCCTCCCCCAATCAAAGTTGTTAGTGAATCTCCATTCACTTTGATGTTCCCTAACAAGTGTGACACCTCGACCAACTACGCTCCCTCAACAACACTTTCTTTCGCTGACTACGCTTCTCTTGATCTTAGCAAATCAATGAAGGTTTTCTCTTCTTGTAGGAAACGTGGCAACAAAACTCTTCTTGGCACCCACCCATACAGTTTGGAATACCTGCTCTGATACCATCTCTCATGGGCCGAAACATTCCTAGCTGAGGACAACCCCATACGGCACTTGATGAGTTGGAACACCAAGCTAGCTTTCCCTTGATAAATCGTTTCCTAAAACAGTATGGTGATTTGCATTCTCATCACTGACCGCATCACGCCTAATTTACCTCGGGCATTTAGTCCCTCGAGTGAGATGTACATGTCACTTTAGTACAACAGCCGATTTCAGCCTATCCGGCAATCATTAGAAAAGTGATGTCAGCTCCTGATTAGTTTATAGATGGGAAGCCAGTTTTCAGAGATCTTCTAAGACGACAATCATCTCATCCCTGAATTTCTACCACAGACACCCTTACCCTACTCTCGCAAACCAGTTATTTCAACCCTTCTGCATCTTTCACGCTTCACCCCGATTGCTCAAAGCTTCACTTTTCAGCCCATATGAGTACAAGAGAAACCGGACCATGACAAACGCACTTTGCAGTCTCCTATTAACATTGGAACCGCAAAATAGCAAAATGAATTTTGATCATATGACTATTGGAAACAATCAACATCATACGATATTTTATCGTGTGCATGGTTTTGCTTTATGATCCCATTTGCACCTATATGACACTTTTGGGTCTGAACACCAACTCATCGTATTTAGAAAGATTGTCACCTAAACAACCGAATCGGCAATTTCAACATAAACTCGTCACCATTTTATATGGTTGGAGTTATAGAATCAGAAGTTCACTCGGTGTGACATAGAGTGAATTATTGAAGTCGCCAAGTAAGGTTCAAAATTCCAAGTTTCCTTAATTAGGGCCATATTGTTTGGTCGTCAAAGCCAAGGTTTACGTACTTCGAGCAGATTGGATATTTGGGCTATTATCCACATGTTTTCAAGGATTAGACTACCATTGAAGCAAAGCAGGAGCCAAATGTAGGTGTATCCTAGTAAATTTGAGCTTCTATCAGTCGAAACTCCTGTGAAACTTCCAAGTTCTATCATACAAAGTAGTACATGCTCGCTAAGAGCAAGAGCGAAAACCCTTTTGGCTTAGTCCCCAGGATCAAAACCGTATCAGCCGAAGCTCGTTTGGCATGGTCAAGGGAATGAAAGTTTATCGGCCGAAGCCACGGCTGTTTTCGACCTTGTGTTTGCTGGTTTGGTGACAATCAGTAATCTGTGTGTGGGTCAGTGACCACCGGGCAAAGCTTGTCATCATTAAATATGTGAAGACCTTTCAAACCTGAAAAGAAATATTCTGGGGATCGACTCCTTCCTGGCCAGATAAAGTCTGAATTGAGTAAATCAAGCCAAGGCTAACTAAGGGCCTTGGCTTGATATGCTGAAACCAGTCACAGCAACGGAAGTTAAATCAGCTGACTGATGATCAACGACTTGTCACCTCCAGTTCCGTTCTTCACATACAACTGACATTCCACCAGATAATACAATGCAGGCTAACTGATGATCAACGCACGAGATACGTTGAAATCAGTCACAGCAATGGAAGTTAAATCAGCTCTTTGGGCCATGAATGGGGACAAAGTACCCAGCCCTGACGGCTTTTCTTCTTAGTTCTTTTAAGTAGCATGGACAGTGGTTGGGGAGGATTTTACTAATGCAGTGTTGGAATTTTTCTCATCTTCAAAGCTGATGAGAATACTTAACATTACTGCTATTTCACTTATTCCAAAAGTGAAAAATGCATCTAAGATTACCTAGTTCAGCCCTATTTCTTGTTTTGATGTCATTTATAAATGCATTACCAAGATGTTGGCAAATAGAGATTTTGCCATTTTTTATTAATGTCAGCCAGTCTGATTTTGTTAAGGATAGAAGGATTGCTGATAATGCTTAACTTGCGCATGAACTAGGTAAAAACTATCACAGCAAATCATATTTCTCCTCGAGGAATGATAAAAGCTGACACAATGAAGGCTGTCGACTCAGTAAATTGGGATTTTGTGCTCAGCATCTTGCAGACTATTAGAGTGCCTGAGAACTTTATTTAATGGATAAGGGTATGCATGACTTCCCCTTACTTCTCAGTCAGCTTGGATGGAGGAGGGCTTGGAGGATTCCTTAAAGGGGAGAGAGGACTTAGGCAAGGAGACCCTCTTTGTGATTACCATGGATATCTTCTCTAGAATGTTGGACTCAAGTGCACAACAGGGAAGTATCAGGTATTATCCACATTGTGCTGAGGTAAAATTGACTTATTAGAGTTCTGCTGACGACTCGATGATATTTTGGAAAAGGAGATAGGGCATACTTGTTGGAAGTATTATCTCTTTCTCAGGGATCTGATAGTATGTCTGGTCTCGAGATAAATCCTGAAATATCTCTGCATTTATCTTATGAGTTTGATCACACCAAAGATCTTCTTCAACTCAGTAACTTTCAAAGAGGATCTCTTCCTGTCAGATATCATGGCCTTCACTCATTTCAGGAAGGCTAATGGATCGTGATTTGTATGCCATTGGTTGATAAGGTGACTTCTAGGACAGATTGTTGGACTTCTAAGACCTCAGCTAGGCAGGAAGATTGCTTTTGATATCATCAATTGTGCATAGCATGGTTAGTTACTGGATTTGTCTTGCCAAAGGAAGTACTCAACGTTGTAGAAAGCACGTGTTCCGCTTGGAAAGGTCAAACTGGGCATGCTTATGGAGCGAAAGTGCCCTGCTCTGATGTATGCATTTCCAATTTTGCAGGGGGCCTTGATCTTAGGAATCTTGCTTTGTGAATGCCGCTTTTATCCTCAAGAAACTCCGCAATTTGCTTCTGAAATCAGGCTCTTTATGGGTTGCATGGGTTAATTCTATTTTGCTGAAGGGTTCTAGTTGTGGCAAGCCAAGAAGCGATCGAACAGCACATATGCATGGAGGAAAATGCTCAGACTGAGGCAATTATTGAAACCACATATCAAGCATGTGGTAGGTAATGGAGAAACTCTCTTTATGGAATGATGAATGGCATCCATATGGGATCTTGATTGAAAAATACTCTCTAAATCATTTATAGCTTTAGGTGAAAAAGCCACAGTTGTAGATGTTATCAAGGCAAAAGAATGGAGATGGCCTTTAGCAAGGTCTGTTGATCTGCTTGAAATACGGATTTGCTTTGTGTGGGTTAATTGCTCCAAACACTGGCTCTGTAGACAAAGTGGTATTTACTGGATCATCTAGTGGCTCTTTCTCTGTAAAGGAGGCTTGGAAGCGAGGGAGGAAATGTGGGAACAAAGTGATTTGGCATAGGCTTGTATGGTTTTGGCCTTTATGTGCCAGAATATGGCTTTTACAACTTGGCTGGTGATTTTTCGACCAACAAAAAAAAAAAAAAACCTTTGGTGGCGATTCATAATAGGTTACACACGTTGGACAGGATGAAAACCTGGTGGGGCATGAATAGCACTTGTGTGCTATGCAGACAACATATAGAATCTCAAATGCACTTGTTCTTCAAGGGTGTGTTCTGAAAGCAGATCTGGGAACAAGTTTTACAGCTACTCTCATGTCCTTCATGGAAGTGACTGGAAGGATGAATTTACTTAGAGGGGAATAGTTTGAAGGTAGCCTGGAATGCAACAATTTATTATCTCTGGAGAGAGAGGAACTTAGTGAAAGCATGAAAATATATGCCCTCAAGACCGCCATGTCCTTGATGCAATTGTTTTTTCTGTAATAGTCTCCGTAGGAGTTCTGATTCAGGAAGGACATTAGACACTTAACTGCTGATGTCAAGTGTTCGTGTTGGCGAGTTCATTTGACGAACTTTTATGTAATCTAGTGGCATGGTTTTGAGTTTGCATCTTGTTATTCTGGGTAGTGGGTAGTATCTTGCTGTTGGTACTAGCAGTGTGGATGTTGAACGTATGATTTAATGTTGTTCTTTTGGTGTATGACTCATTGAATATGCTGTAATGGACTCGTATGAGACGTAATCCTTCCATGCTTTTTTCCACAGGTGGTGCAATAAAATGGATAATTGATTATCAAAACAATTTGTACAATATCACAAGTCAAATATGTCTACTGTACTTTCAACTATGCCAGGGTTCCCAAAATAAGTAACCTTTGACAGCATGACCATAGTATCTTACGAAAATAATTTGGCTCGGCAATGCTTGAGAACTGAACAAAGCTCTGGCGTGTTCAATCTCCCATTTAAAGATACCTCAACAAGTCATCTTTCGTGTCTTGTGAAGCTTATTTAGTTGCTCAGTCCAAATGGGGGACAGATCTTTTTAGTCCACTGACCAGCATAGATAGAGTCAAATACAAGCTTTCTGAGCGCAGCGGTATTTGCCCACAAAAGAATCTCCTCTTAAAAGTGAAAACAGTAATAACCGCGCGCATCATCTTATAGCGAGCAGTAAACAACCATTGGCCACTGTAATTGTCTCACCAGATATCAACCAAGGACAAATCCATAAGACCAGCCAAAGATAACTGAGGCAGGGAACCAATTCCCTTTTCTTTCCAAGAGCATCTTCAATGTCCATCAAGAACCCTTCGATGTCTTATCCTATTCTTCCAGAACTCATCCTTCTTTCGTTTCTTCTTGGGTCTCACCGAACCCATTTTGCTATTGACTATACCAAGAATGGCACTCCTGTCCTTCCTATTCTTTATTGCAGCTTTAACATCCAATATTTCCCTGAGCTTTTGGTATGATCTGGCATCTGGTACCTGTCCACTCTTTACCATCTTCTTATGATAAAAGAATGCCCTCCTGAAATCGCGAACACGGACAAAGGCATATATCATGGTCGAATAAGTGATAGAATCCGGCTTCAGATTCAAAGCTGCCATTTCTTTCAACAGTTGGGGCAACTTCAAGTGCTGACCTCCTCGTGCATACGCATTAATCAGCATATTATACGTCATTACAGTTGGCTGCAGACCTATCTTCCCAAATTCAGAGATCACATCTCTTGCTTCGATGTAGTGACCTTGCTTAGCAAATCCATCAAGGAGAATGTTAAACGTAACTTGTGTCCCTTCAACTTTCTCGGTAATCATCATTTTCCATATTTTCATTAACACTTCAATGTCACCAGCGCGCCTAAATGCATCCAGGAGAGTGGTGTAGGTTTCAATCGAGGGTTTGATTCCTTCTCTTAGCATATCCTCAAATGCTGTGTAAGCTTTTTCATGCCAACCACTCACTGAATAAGCATGAACAAGAGCTGTATAAGAATGCAAATTCGGTTTTACACCAACTCTCCTCATCCTCATGAATGCATCTGCTGCCATGTCACTCATTGTCCTCTGCCTCCCGTATGCACTAATCAAGCATGTATATGAAGTGGCATTTGGCTCCAAGCCCATCTCTTGCATATCTTTAAGAAACTTTTCAACAATCTCAGGCTGCATCCTTCTGCTGTATGCATCCATCAGGATATTAAACGTGGCAGCAGTGGGTTTGAGGCCTTTCGCTTTCATTTCAGCAAAGAGACCTTCAGCTTCTTCAATTTGGTTGGATTTGCCATAAGCATCCATGAATGTGTTGTATACAATCACATTTGAAGGGATTCCTTTCTTTTCCATTTCCGCCTGGATGATAAGAGCTTCCTTCTTCAGCCCCTCGTCACAGAATGATTTTATTAGAGCGCCCATAACTTCTGAACTCCATTTAACTCCCTTTCTATTCATCCTCTCAAAGAACTCCCACGATTCCTTAGCACTGTGGCCATTCTTCCTCATGACCGTGATGACTATAGAGCATGTCACGTGATCCGGCTGAACATTATTAGCCTCCATTGCCTCATACACCTTCCAAGCATCCTTGTAGCTGAAACATATGATGGAGTATCTCATTTAGGACATCTGGACAGAGGTGGGAGACAAAATGGAAAAGTAAAAGGCAAGGGAATTACAGACTGAAGGAAGACAACTATTGCAAGAAAAAAATTCATTGTCGTTGATGAAAGGATGATTGCATCTGTCTGGGCTATGTTCTTATTTTGTTTCTGAGGAGACTCGTGTAGGATATGAACAACATGGTCTAGATCTTGCACAGTGATCCAACAGATTGTCCTTCAGACTTAGAAAAATAGAGCCAAAAGCCAAAAATTTACACCCCACCAAGATATAACATATTGACAGGAAATTCAGACCTCATCCAATTTGACAAGACAATACGATAAACTACCTCCTCCAAAACTAAGCTCAAATTAGCCTCAAGGACTTTGCTGATCTTACTATGAACAAAAGCACAATTGGTGCCACACAAAGTCAATCACGATGACCAACGAACAAACTGAATACATAGAGACAGAGAATTCCAAACATTTCCATTTCTCATACCTCCCGGAGCTCATCAGCCCAGAAATAGCAGAATTATAAACACGAACATCCCTGAACTCTATCTTGTTCGGTAGATTTTCAAACAAAACCAGCAATTTGTTCCCCATCCGAGCTCTTCCCAACATGGGAAACATGACCGAGCATGCCCGAGACGTAACGAGAGATGGCTCCTGCAACCCCATCCACTCGAAAAAGTAAATGCTACTCTTCACAAGCCCCTCCTTTTCCATAAACCCCAACACCTCCACGCACTCTTTCGCACCAATCTTCCCCTGAAAACCCCCCAACAACTCCCCCAACGTCGTATTCACCGGCAAGTTCCTCGCAAGTTTCAAAATTTCTCCCACCACGCCCTCAGGCAAAGCTTTTGAGGCCGAACCCGACGACCCCATTTTCCCCGCATCCCCAATAGCAGGCACCGATGCATCCTCAGCTTCAGAATCCGCAACAGAGCCGGGAGCCAGCCGCCAAGAAGAGCGGCGTTTGTTTTGGAGGGAGAGCCGTCCTTCGCGTGGTGGGTCCTGCGCAGGGGTGCGCGACTTGAAGAATCTGAGAATTGGGTCGCCGTCGTCTTCCGGTGGCGGCTCTTGACGCGGCTGCGATTGCGGCAGCACTTGTGGTCGTCGCCGCCGTCGCTGCTCCTGCTGCTGCTGGTCATGCTGCTGGAGATGAGGAAGGAAAATGGAAGAAGTTGGAGAGTGAGAAGAGGAAGAGGGCGAGGTTGCAGATAGGGAGAGAGGCTTGAAGGCCGGAGAGATGCCGCCGGCGACGGAGTACGATCTTGTGGAGTGACCGTGAGGAGGAGGAAGAAGAAGGAGTGGAAATGGCAGGCGTTGGTTCGTGAGCGCCATTGTCTTTTGTCCCCAACAATCAATGGCTCATCTCTATATTTATTCGTTCACAAGTAATTAATATAGGGTTTCTAGCAAAAAAAAAAAAAGTAATTAATATAGGGTTAATAATATTATGAATAGTTAAAAAGGACCCAACCCTAAGTTTTAATTTATTAAATTTTTTTGCTCCATGTTTTTAATTTTAAAACAAGCATAGATTTTATTCATGTGTAGAGCTTTACGATTTGAAGTGTGAAATTCAGAACGAAAAGAAGTTTGAAATCGTTTACCCACTTATTCTTGATTTATAAATGCCTACAAAGATTTATATTGAATTTAAATTTTGAAAGACTACATTTCATTGCAAGTCTATGTAGGATTTAAAAATTCTAATTTGTTTCACGGAAAATGTAACATTTCTAGAATATATTTTTAAGAAAATGACAATATTTTTCGGTGTTTTGCTTAAACATGAATATGAATTGGCAATATTTTCTGTCTTTAGAATAAAAACCTAATTTGATTTTCCTAAACGGAAAAACACCCAAAAACCCCAAACTTTACCACTTATGACACATTTATCCCGAACTTTTTTGTGTAATGAAAAACCCCAAACTATGTAACTTCACGTGACACATTTACTCAATATACTATAGCTTAGGGCATTTTAGTCTTTTTCCTTTTTCTATTTTTTTTTCTTTTTTTTTCTTTTTCCCAAGTCCGCCTCGCCGACGAGGTCTCCCGACCTCCCGGCGGGATCTGACGAGACCCTCGCCACCCAAGCGAGGCGCCTGTCCTAGCCGCGTTGGGCGAGCATGCCCTCGCCTCGCCGGCGTGGCTTGAAGAGGGGACTCCCGCCTCAGCGAGCGAAGGCCACTCGCCCGGCGTGGCGAGGGCTGCCCGCCATGCCCGGCGAGGGCTTTCCTCTCGCCCGCTTTGGGTGGGGCGAGGGTCCACTAGCCCTCGCTCGGGCGAGCGAGGCGGCGTCTGCGCCGCCTCGCCTCAGCCCGGTGGCGAGTGGGGACTCTCGCCGCCAGCCGCGAGGGCAGCTGACGATCTGGCGAGCGAGCCTCGCCTAACGCCGGCCAGGGCAGCCTTACTCACCTTGAGGCGAGGCGGCTCATCATCGCCTCGCCAGGCGGGCGAGATCCCCCGCCGGCCGGCGACGGCGAGGGTCGCTTGCGCCCAACGCCGCTTGGTCGTCCGCCTCGCGCTCTGTAGCGAGGGCGAACCTTCGCCTCGCGGGCGGGGCGAGGGTCCTCGCCTGATCTCACGGCGAGCGAGGGCCGCTCGGCCGACGCCTAAGCATGGGGCCTCGCACAGAGCGGGCTGGCGAGGTCCCTCGCCCTCGCCGGCGACCTCGGCCTAAAAAAGAAAAAAAAAATAGAAAAGGGGAAAAAGACTAAAATGCCCTCTAGGTTACAAAGATATTTGGGGTAAATGTGTCACTGAAGTTATAGTTTGGGGTTTTCTTGGCTACAAAAAGTTCTAGGGTAAATGTGTCACAAATGATAAAGTTTGGGGTTTTTGGTAGTTTTTTCTCTTCCTAAACAAAAATACTCTATTCCAGCGCTAGTAATTTGCACATGGACAGCCGAGGAACCTGGTATGGGCATTAGAATCCCAGGTCCGGCTGCAATGGACCCCCAACCTGAGTGCCAAGATTGAGGCACGAGCACCTGGGTCGCAAGTACCGGGGTCCTAAGCGCAACCTCGATGGACCTTTGTTGGCCCAAGCACGACCTTTATGGATCCAGGTGCAAGTGTTAGGGATCTGAGATCATCTACCAGGATCCCATGCTCAACCTTTGTAGACTTGGGTCTGGTTGCTGATGCTTTGGGCCCAGCCTTGATGGACCCGAGCATAGGTGCCGAGGGCCTGGGTACAAGCAATGGGGTCCAGGGCTCAACCTCAATGGACCCGAGCAAGGGCACCAAGATCCGGGCACAAGCACTAAAGTCACAGGCTCGACCTCAATGGAACCGGGCCTAGGCGCCAAAGACCTAGTCTAGGACGTGAGGACTCAAGAGCCAACGTAAGGGTTTCCATGCCCAAATTTAGAGTTTCGGATTCAAACACCGATACCTATTTATATTTTGGAAAATAATCTCCGATTTTTAAAGAGAAAATCATTTTTCAAAATTTAAGCACGGATATTTAATTGACTTATTTCCCTAAACGAACAAAAGGCGGAAAACTGAGATAAATATTTTCCAAAAATAATTTTCTGCGAAATAGACGGTTTCCAAAGACTTCTCTCAATCTGCCGTGACTCTACTTTACATTTCATTGATCTGAGGCTATAGACAATGGCACTCAGACTAGTTATTGAAGTGAGAGTGGCTCTAGACCATATCAACGTTGATTCCCATAAAATTCTGCGTCTCATAAAAGAAAAATAGCATGGATCTAGTTGACAAGCTCTAAAGAGAAACTGCCAGCTACCAATTTCCAATCGTTAGATCAAAGAATGCTTGCGATTGCTAAGCACAAAGCAGTGAAAATAACCATCTTCTTGCACGAATACCAGCGAGTCGACGGAAAAGTTTGGACTAAAAGCTCTGCCGTACAGCACCATCCTATGATTAATGTAAACGCTAAGAAGTTATATTGGAAGCTCGTGCACGAAGTTAAAAGAAATGAGACGACAGATTAATTAGATCATCTCTTACAACATACGGGAAGCATGTGATTTCGGAACAAATATATGACTATGCGTTGAACAGAGCACTGCGCCAAAGAATTTACATCCTATTTACACGAGAAAGTCTTGTTCTTTCTCACTGTGGCATGTTTCGATCTTGAATGATACATGACGACAAGCTTGCACAAAGTCTAGACATCGCCGCTGCTTTAATCGTGTTGGACTTCGCTGCATCTAGCAAGGGGTCAGCCTGTAGAGCTTGGCTGAAACAATATTGGGCCTCTTCCCATTTTCCCTCGGCAACAAACACGAGACCCAAGTTGTTGAATGCAGGGGCATATCCAGGGCGGAGTTCAAGAGACTTCGCAAACATTGCCCTGGCTCGTCCATACTGTCTAAGATGCCGGTAGAGATTTCCGAGGTTGGAAAATATAGTATGCACGTGCTCAGCTCCCGTCAGTGCCAAAGCGCGCTTGTATACTACCTCAGCTTGTGATGGCTCCTCAGACAAATGCAGAGAGATACCTGGCCATAAACAATTAAAACATGAAGAGTATAGTTTACCAAAGCAATTAAGGGAGACACAAATTGCGACAAACTGTACCTAAATTTGACCACGCACAGCTGCATTCTCTCATGCGAGCAACCGCAGCTTTGAGGTACTTTTGTGATGCTTTGAATTGTCTAGTGCAAAGACTATGGAGGCCAAGCTGGTGCCAATGGACAGCTTCATCAGGTTCCTCTGCTACGGCCTAGTTTATTCAAAGACATGGGAGTCAGGAAAAAGGTGAAAAGGCTGAACCAAGACAAACTAAAACATGAATGGGGCCAAAATTAATATGAAAGAACATGTATGCTCTGATTTTGATTTTAGTGAGCACAAAACAATCTCCACTCAAAAAAGATAAAACCCAATCTATTCACGCCAAGGGATGCATTTAACTCATTTCCACTAATTGCCAGGCAGCAATCATATGAGCGGTGCGGTGGTCTCAGCAAGAAATAATTCAAAGAACTTCATTGATTTCCTAGTATCTCCAAACAAACATCAAAACAAACATCAAAGAATAGAAAAAGTAGAATGAAGTAGTAACCTTATACTTCAAAGATAAACAAGTAAAACTGCAAGCTTAATTTATTTAAAAACAAATGTATATATCCATACTGTAGCCAATTGAAGATTGAGGCATAGTTAAGGATGTGATTGTTCCTATCATGAATAGCAAACTCGACAGGAAGAGAGTTGACTGTAAGAGATGGAGCTAATTAAAATACTTTACCCAACTCATATTTTCATTTTGTACGCTGCTTTAACTTCAATATAAGACCTTTTTTGAGCAAATCTACTACAGCTAGACCTCAACATAACCTGACAGGACATTGTTTCCAAAAAGAAAAACAACCCACTTGGATCCAGTTACAGCGCTACATAAATTACATAAATATACCAGTAGCCCACAAGATTTGACAGAATATGCGACTAAAGTAGCAGGCTTCCTGAAATACCATTACAGTTATTGAGCTAGGCAGGACACCACCTCTTTATCTCAGGGCTAAACTAGAGACCAGAGCAAATACCTGCTTCAGACTATAGGTAGCACTTTCTTCTACATCCATCAATTCATTTGACTCGTTTCCAAATGCAGCCACAATCTCGTGTTGGACCTTATGAACCATGGCCAGCCCTGACCAAGCAACAGGAACTTGAATTATTGCAGAATCTCCATCCCTCACAATTGAAGCCATCTCATTTCCAGCCCACAAAAGTTGATCGCTACGATCCTGAGACCTCTCTACATCCTTCATCCGGTGGAGTGCAACTGCATATCGAGTCGCCATGCAACCGGGATCCAATTTTACTGACTAGAATATGAACAGCCAGAAGTCATTCTCATAAAAAGGAAATAAAAAGCTGCATGATAAATAGTACACAAGTCATGCACAGACAACAAGCATGACTTCCATTAGAATATATAGAGATTCATCAAAGAAACCAATGGACAACCTCAAACAGAGGCCATAAGCACCTTCTCCAAGCACTTGCTGGAATTTCGATGGTCACCAATCGTATAATATGCATCTGCCAGATTGATCCAGATATGTGATGCTTTAGGATCTGATTTCAAAGCTGTTAGCAAACACTCCTTTGCCAGATTGACAGCAGTAAGCTGATCTACTAAAGCACCTACACCAGCATTTGCCCCAGCACCTGCAAAGTTTAGATAAAATTATTCAACATCATATAACATACCAAAGAATAGCAGAAGTTAACTCCAATGCACCAGAAACTGTAGATCCTGCTTCAATTCTTAACCGTCTAATATACATGTATCTCCAAAATCCAATCGAGTGTTTAAAACATACCTGGAACAACAGCACCATATTTGCAG